ATAGCCTCGATACCTGTCAAGAGCCGGAAAGTGTCAGTGTCCCGCCTTGGGTACACGCACTCTCGCAGCGACTCCTTGGCTGTCCAGCGAAAGCATCAGTGAGGGATGTATGCAGTCAAAGGTCGGAAAGCTCAGCTGCTGACCTGATTGAAGTGCATGCGGGTGAGTCTGGAGGACACCTGCCGAAGGAAGCTGAGGCGGAGGTATGCAGGTGAGCCTAAAGAATGCCTGCGAGGGATGGCGAGAGGTCTGCTGGTGGTCGTAGTAGCTTGGAGTGAGGTGAGGCCAGTCGTCTGTTGCCTTTCCGGCAGCTCGCGCTCTCAGGAAGATTTATGTATGCTACGTCAGCGGCTCAATGAGCACCTACCTGAGCGCCGTCTAGATTGCAGTCATACGTCTTCAGCTAGCGCTCTGCTCCGTTGCGTGCGGCGCACCCAGACGGATGTGCGCATTTGTAAGCTGCTACTTCCCAATCGGCACTGAATGCATCCCGCAGTCGCTCTGTGGTCTGTGATCGCTAGCTCGCTTGCGTCAGAAGGGATTGAAGCGATTGCCTGGGGGCTTCTGAGCGTCTGCGCACATTCTATGCCGCATCCAAAATCTGAGCGGGGATGATGGTCAGCGTGACGAACAGGCACTCACGACTCACGACTCTCGCACGCACGCGAGCAGCTTTCCACACTCATTGACTCACGACTCACGACTCAAGATTCAACGAGGTCGATCTGTAATTTGGGTTTGAATTTGAGTTTGAATTTGAACTCACATTTTGACTTTAATCGTGATTCATTCAGTATTCAGATTCGTGATGCGAAGTGGCCGGCTGCGCCAGCTTCACGTGACGCGACGCGGCCAAAGCGCGCTCTCGATGCCGCGCGCCCGCTCGTAGACGGAGATAGATCGATAGATGACTCGTGACTGGTTGGTTCCGTGGATTGACGGCACATCTGCTGGCCCGTACCCTTTGGTTCCGCGTGGGATTAACAGCACATTTGGCCGTACACCAGCCGTGAGCTCAGCCACGCGACCTTACATTTAGATTCTATCTCGTCTCTCAAGTGGCCGTCAAAGGGGGAGAGGGTGAGGGGAAGGGGCAGAAGATCGACGACGGAGCGTCTATCTCGGAGCAGATATCACACCTACTGCAAGCCCCTACGAGCAAGGTCTGAAGAGCGGCAAACCTCAACCAAACGCGACCCAAGCATACTCTAAATGTAAAAGTTGCGTGTGAAACGGGAGTAAAGGTGACAGACATGGAACGCTTTTGAGACTACATGATCAGAAAGGTCGAATTGTGCTGCTACGTGTGTGATGGGGCTCGAATGTCTTTGCCTCGAAGCGGCTGTGTGGTGCGGATCACGAGCCCGGTGCTCGCGAATATGTTCGTGAGGTGCTACTTTGTTTGCCTCGTGCACCGGGAACCGTGTAGATTGTGCTTGCAAGAGATGTGTTCAGGTCACGGGGTAGCACCAGACACCTGAAAACGATGGCGTTGTGGAAATAGGGAGGGCGCGCTATCGACGCTCAGATGCGAGCCGCTTCGCGCCAAGGCGAATCGAAGTTGCTCCCTGCACCTGCATGCAGACGTAGCTTGTCCTCCTTGGCAGCCTTCATACTCGCAGCTATCCCAAAGTCGACAAAATGCAGGCCGGCCGATTTGCGTGTTGTGTAGATCGTCGTCGCATCGATGGCCATCTCCTGCAAGTCATCGACGATCCCGTCGTCAGTAGAGACGCTTTGTTCGAGATGCCACATTTTCACATCTTCAAACGGATGTTCCGATGGGCGCCAAGTGGGGTCCAAACGATGCCAGTCCAAGTCGGTGATCAGAAAGTCCATGACTTTGGCATGCCGCTC